TTGATTAGGGTTTAGAGTTTGGGGTTTAGGGTTTGGGGTTTAGGGTTCATAGGGTCCTTCAGACTTTTGCGTCTGCTGGATGAGCACAGGGTCCAAATTTAGACCCGAGTTAGTACATTGCCTACAGCCTTGAAATGGCCGAATCTGCTGGTTTGCGGCTTAGTGTTCAGGGATTAAGGTTGTAGGGTCTTAGGCTTGAGGGTCTAGGGTAGGGGTTTAGGGTTTGGGGGATTTAGGGCTTAGGACTGTACAGTTTAGGATCTTAGTGCTTTAGGGTTTGGGGATCTTGGGGTCAAGGATTACGGGGCTTGGGGACCTAAACCCTTAAACCCTTAAGCCCTAAACATGAACTGTGGGGAGTAGGGTTAGCGTTTCGGCTTTAGGGCTTAGGCCTCTCAGGGTAGGTTTGCATGTTGTACCCTAAACCCTTAACCTTGGCGCAACTCTGAAGTGATCAGGGGGATTTTGGTCTAGGGTTTAAGGGTTTAGGGTTGATTCTTTGTATGGAAGACAATGTCAAGATTTCGGGTTCTTTTTGGGGTTGTGGATAGGAGCCTACCGGTTGCTGGTAGCACTGCGGCGGATTGAGTATCCTGTGCATTTCGTTTTGAAACATCTCCCTATCATGGCATTAGACCAGAACTTGGGAATACAATGAACAAAGGCAGGCACCTTTGATCATCTACAACCTACGACATAACTCCCCTGAATCCCCAGCTTGCAGTTCATAAGTCTTTTGAATCCTAAACTCATGTTGCTAAACTCTGGGGAACTCAAAGCTCTAGACTCCTCAACCCACTACAACTCTAAAAATGGTATCTGCTCCATCCGAAATTCACTCCAAACTCTCTAAAATCTCAAACTCCAAACTCCTCAATCCCTAAACCCTAAACCCTATGTGTATTCCCATGTCAGTTTCAAAGGCTCCTCGTCAAAGCCCATGCAGCGTAGCGTCGCCGCCAGCTGCTCCTGTCGCACTTGCTCCTGGCCAGCTCAGGGTTTAGGATTCGGGGTTTGTATGAAAGGCTTTCTGTAGAAACCCAGTTGTTACCGACTCTAAATCTACCCTAAACCCTGGACATCATACTGAAGTACCCTGTACCCTGCAATGGTACAATTGGCCATTATTACAGGATTCAGTAAGCCCTACACCCTAAACCCTAAACCCCAAGTAGCTGTACTGTACAGCCTGTGGGGTATTGTAGGATGTGCTAAGCTTCTTAGGGCTTGGGAGACCATGGGCTTCTTGGACCGGTTCTGAGTTACAATCAGGGCGTGAGGATGCTTTGAAAGCCTAAACCCTAAACCCTAAAGGGGTACCTTTTTAACAGTCCCTAAGACGCGGATTGCAGGGAAAGAGATGTTGAAGATTTCTTGAACTGGTTTACGGCCTTTTGGAGTTTCTTAAGAAGATTTGGAGTATCGTGTTTCAAGGGCGTAGGGTCTCTTATTATACAGGATCTCCCAACTGTAACACAGGGTTTGGGCCTTCAATTGAGGGGTCATTAGGCTTTGTCATTCGGAGCTACCTTTGGAAAAGAGTAGGGTAGAAGTAGCAGGATCCCTAAGCCCTAAACGTAAACCCTAAGCCCCAAAAACCAAAATCGAATCCCAAAAGCCTGAACCCCCTGCTGCAGACCTCCTCTTCCTCATCTTGCGGATCGAGTCGGGGGCGCTCGGGCATCTGCCGAGACTGGACCTTTGTCTTGTACCGGGGTTTAGGGTCTAGGGTTGAGGGTTGAGAGTTTAGGGTCTAGGGTTGAGGGTTGGTCTAGGGTTGAGGGTTTAGGGAATGGAGAACTGGACACGCAAATGATAGAAACTGAGGCTTTCTAGGGACATACCAACATAGGCTCAGACATGGAAGAGAAATTGAACGTATGATTTAGGGTTAAGGGCTTCGGGAATGGAAACTAACTATGCTATTGCTGTTTCTATAAGGCCTTGTATATGGAGCCCAACTCCTACATACCCTACTAACATGCAGTAGGTGGTGCCAGGAAGTCCCGCGGCTGAACGACGTTTCTTCAAGAGGGGTACCCTCAGGGAATTCAGAAGGTTTACGGTTTAGGGATTAGGGAATTCAAGGATATAGAGAGAGAGATCAGATAAAGATCATGCAGGTCTCAATGGAGGATCCCCAACATTGCGACACTCTTCCAAAACAGTGTCCAATCTTTTCGGGCCCCCTCTTTAGGAGTCCTTAATCAGGGACAACATATTGGCATCTCTACGCCGTCCCATTATTTATGGGAACGCCCACGCACCCTTGGGCCGCCACCGCGTTGGAGGAGCAGGCGAAATCGCCCCGGGGCGGCGAAGTTTCAATCGGCAATGGGACCTCAAGTTCGCTCGCCTCGCGCGGGCGAGGGTCGGGAAGCTCCCGCAAGGCCTGCCAAGCACATGGAGGCATATGACTGGATCCCTGTAGCTTCTGTAGAATCCTTTATTATGATGGGTTTTGCTATAAGGTAACAATGATTCAAGAAATGGATTCCTATAGTTTCCTGCCTTTATAACCCCTACAGGCCCTAAACCCTAAAACTCTAAACTCTCAAGCCCATATAAACTTACCATTACTTAGGGTACCCTAATTATTTCCTCAATTTCAAAAGTTTAAAAGTTCAAAACCAGAATGACCCCCCAAACCCCAAGTAATGGTAATAAACCCCAGGCCATAGTCTTCCACTCCCTTCTGACCGCAAGTTGGCTGCGGAAATCCTGGAATTCGAGCCTCGGAGGCCGATGGAGCTGGAGGTGCCTACAGAGGCCGTTTAGGGTTTAGGGTTTAGGGTTTGGAGTTTATGGGTTAAGGTTTAGGGTTTAGGATTTACGTAGGGTTTTGGCTTTAAGGTTTTGGGTTTAGGGTTTTGAGTTTAGGATTTAGGGTTTTGGGTTTAGGATTTAGGGTTTTGGGTTTAGGATTTAGGGTTTTGGCTTCAGGGTCTAGGGTTTTGGCCTTAGGGTTTTGGATTTAGGGTTTAGAGTTTGGCTTTTTTTTAAACCCCTCGGACTTTTACGTCTGCGCTGAGCGCAAGGGGTATCTTGCCCATCTCCAAAACACACATCAGTCCGTCTGAACGCCACTTTAGGGTTTAGGGTTTGGGCTTTAGGGTTTAGAGTTTGGGCTTTAGGGTTTACGGTTTTGGCTTCAGATGAAGGTTTTGGGTTTGGGCTTTAGGTTTTTGGCTTTAGGGTTTAGGGTTTAGGGTTTTGGCTTTAGGGTGCATGCTTTCATTTAGAGCTCTTCGAAGCTGGTAGTATATGGAGTCCTTATGGCCTTACCAGATCAATAAGGCATAACTCCAATATATAATGATTCCATGTCATGTTCCATTTGCTGTCCCAGTCAGCCCTGACTAAACTGACCATTGTTCTCTCCAAGCCCTTAAACTCTAAACCCTAAAGCCCGAACCCTAAATCC